CGTGTAGTGCCCGTCCACCTTTCTGATGATGTCTGCCTCCGCGCACAAAAATGAGATGGGCATCACTGCCAACGCCGACGGCCAGAAAGGCCCGCGCATCTACATTTTCCCGCCTGACCCCATCAGTGCCGACCCAACTCCACCACCACACGCACGCCTCGCGGCGGATGCGCAGCAGCAAGAAGGTTTCGGTCATCCCTTGAGAGTGAGTCTAGCCCTGCTCGCCAGAAAGACCCCCCCCTTCGCTACAACCCATGTCTAAGCAAAAGCTTGTCGAGGAGCGAGGGGTAGATAGAAGGGTACGCAGGACCAACGTCACCCTTGTGGACCAAGAAGGTTGACAGTTGCTGCTCCATGTCTTGGTATTTTCGCTCGTATTTTCTTGTACTCCTTGTATCGGCAGCAGTACTGGTGTTGCTCATGGTTGACACCCGACAACAATAGTCTTTAGACTATAAGCAAATGGTGTTGAAATACTCTGAGAACAAGAACGCCCCTTTCTGGAGAAGAATCGACGACACTTGGCAAATAAGAACTGGTGCTCGGGTTGGGGCAGCCAATAAGAACTGAGCCTCGCCCATAGTAGGTTCTTAAGTGCGGACCGGCACTGTATTTCAACCTGTATTTATTTGGCGTCGCCGTGGCGTATGAAGTAGCTTGGAAGATCAGAATCCCAGCCCAAGCATTCATCTCTTCGATCGAGTCAGCGCCGAGCGGGCTTGGTCTAACAAGGCTATCTACAAGAGAGATCAAACAACAACCGTGAGTACCACAAGCTATGCATAGGAACAACGGACGTAACTTGCTCCCTTCCCATTATTTTCTTTGTTCCTCCACAGCACCAGCCGCTGTGCTTGCTACTGCTGTACCTACCTGTCAATACGCGTACGGACTGTTTTCTGACTTTTTCTTCGGTGGCTCTTCTTCGAGAAAGGAGTCGGTCAGCTGATGTGTAAGCTGATGTCGAGCTTGGGAAAGGCCACAACCAACTGATTTCCAGTGGCTTGCGGACCTTTCGGGTCCATTTAATTTGGGCATACGTACGATGAGTTAGCCTGTGACCAAGGGAATTGGCCGGTCAAGTGTCGATGAACGTCTTTGATCAGTTCAGACAGACAGATGAGAGTTCTGGGTATGGTATCGCCGTGGGGTAGTGAAGAGATCGGTGAAGATATAGTCTACATGTAAAACAAAACATCATTCAACACAGCCACAACAACAATAGTAACACAACAACCGGCAACCGGCAACGGGCAGCCAGCTTCGGGCCTGCTCCTGCTGTATTCTTGCATCACACCTTGATGGCGCACTGCTGTGCCCTTGAGCCCACACTCGCACTCCCGGACGGATCACTGGTATCGAGGTGAAATATTTGCACTGTTTGTGCACAGTCTATTATTTATATTTAGTTGCTGCTTTCTGTTGTATTTTCTTCAGCGGAAAAGAATAGAGGGCATGGCGACCCGCCACCTCACTGCCACTGGTTTTCCCCTTGTTCCTTTGAACGGATTCTCCCGCACCGGCAACCAAGGAGGGACACAGGTGGGGTCCAACCCCCCCCTCCTATGTGACCCCGGTTGGGTCGTCTAGCTGGTAGAAGTGGAGGATAGGGGCCAGAGGGGCAGACCACAGTCCAATGATGAGAGACAAAAAAAAAAAAAACACTGCACTGCACTGCTGTAGAGGACGCGTGACACGGAACCGTTTGATTGCACCGCGCGAGGCACTGGCCAAGGTCACCGGATACGCCGCTGCTGCAGGCACGTACCACGAACAAGGACCCTTAGCTCCCCTGGTTACGAGAAAGCCGAGAAAGACGAAGCAAACCGTTTTTGGAGATGAGACAATGCGCGCGGGGGAACAAAGAAAAACGACGATACACACACATGGTTTCGCAGCGGGGGGAGTACGCGTGTGTGCGGTAAATACAGCGCACGGAACCTCTCTCTCGGGGTAGAGAAAGAGGCTAACGGCAGGGCACATGGGTGGCGGCTTGAGCTCTACGGCCGAGAAGAGTAGGCATTACGTTGCCTTCGGTTGTGTATTTGAGACTTAAGTACAGAAAAAACTCGTATGATCAGTATCCGATCAGTTTGGCTCCAAGTTCACTGCCCTGACATAGACTACTGCTGCTGTAGCTTGGGTTTACAGGCTTGTCTCGTACACCTGCGATGCGCGAGGCGATGGTTTCACAGAGCCCCTCGCAAAAATCAGAGTTGAGACTTGGTTCAGCTGCAAGCATTTCGGCTATGATCCAGCATTATAAGTAAGTCAAGGCAGCCCAGACGCTATCTTAATTAATTCTGCCATGTCTTCCTGTGCTACATGTAGTAGTGAACCTGGTGAGTCCATGAATGAAAGTACATATCGTCACCCAAATCAAGTGCTGTAAAAAATAAACAAAAATCGTGCGAGGCCAATAATCGACTTGCTTCGACGAACCAAAACACGACATGATGACTGAAACACCCCCGTCCTGCTTTGTAGATAGACTGTTACAGCGTTCGATCACAAACAAGTTCTCACCCTTGGAGGGCTTGGTCGGCATCCAGGTAGTAGGCATCCAGTCGGAATCGCTGTCCGTTGCAGATTACGACTTGTCATTCGAAGAGGTCATGTTGTCTGCTGCTGTGTACCTCGATCACGCTGCTCAGCGGGGTGGTGGTGATGCTGCCGTTCATGAATCGAACATTCGTCATCATGTAAGTGTGCTCTACAGTTTGCTGCGTAAAATTCCGCATGAATCTGTGTTCTGCGGAAGAACATTGTTGCACATATATATGCTCCCTCGTCCGATTTGTCCCGGAGTGCCTGCTTTCATCCCTCATGGCGTGTGCCACGGGATTGAATTAGTTATCGAGAAGCAAGCCTGATAGATATGGCTTCCGTCCGGTAGATTTCTTGTGAGGCAGGTTTTCGTAGGTGAGTTGTTGTTGTTGTTGTTGACTTCACATTAAACCGTATGCCAGTTGCTAAATGCCAAAATCTAGCAAAGACTCTCAGCCCGTGGTCACGAAAGTGCTAGAGCCATCTGAGGATCTAAAGAACACGCACACGTAGCAAGAAAAAGGTATCCAAGAGCCCGAAGAGGTACTACTACACCTATATATA